CAATGAGAAAAAGGATGTGGTCATCATCTCGGTTAAGATAATCTATTGACAAAGTGTACTGAGAAATTTTTAATAGATTAACCTTTTAGACAAAATGACCAATCAGACGTCGTTCAAAAATTTTTTTTTTTGAACTACGAGATTCTACAATATGCACCGAAAAACTTTTGTCTAACAAGGCAAGTCTATATTCTTTCTCAAACACAGTTTTCTGGTGAGATTGTTTTCATCGGATCGGGTCGGGTTCGGGTTAAGTTGTTGTCGGGTCGGGTTGGGTGCGGGTCGACATTTTGGCAGTCGGGTCAGGTTCGGGTTAGGTGTTCTTAACCCGTGCAGGTCTCTAATCGTGTACTCGATCAACTCTGGAAAAAAACTTGTCCATTACAGATAATTTCTACGAAGCAGAAGAGGAGAAAAGGGGCTTTCAATAATTTAATTTAATTTTACAACCACTTCTTAGTCACTAGAGACTCAAACAGAACTCATTTCTAGCAAACAGACAGAGGTACGGTTTAACAATCAGCACATTTTCGTCCCCATCAATTACTTTTCATTCAACAATTACATTTCGTTCCCATATAATGTAATTCAAGATAACATTCAATCATAGATCTTGTTAACTATGTGTTGAAAGCTGAAATTGTAAATTATGTTTGTCTTACCTTGATCAAAAATAATTTTTGATTGATTATTTACTGTTTCTTTTGCTGTTAATCGTCGTACTTTTGTACGTTTTCGTAGTATAGAATATATAGAATATAAGATTGCACAAACAAAATTAAAAATAGAAAATATTAGAAATAATGAACGAGCGTAAATTAATGTATAAATAAATGACGATATTAATAGGCCAATACCACGACCTACAGAACAATTTTATATTAGAAGAGCGTAATGTATTTAGTAGAAAGCTTACCTAATCCAAATGATAAACCATAAGCAATACCTTGTAGTGTACTCGCTAGACCAGGAGGAGCTAAAATAAAAGAAAAATGTATAACATTAAACAAACGATGCACTAAATCTTTTCATTCACTACATTTAATTATTCATTCTATGAGCCTTTTTTGTTTTTCTTAGTCAATATTCATGAAAATATGTTTATACTGTGAATTAGATTAACATACTAATCAAGTTTTGTTTTTCTCACTCTTTCTGTCAGAAGAGAAATAGAATAATGAACAATACGGATGTATCAAATATTCAAGATAGTGATGTTTTTATTGTTCACAAATAAAAAATTAAAAACAAGAATTTTTCCATAAAATTTGATCATGTCATAATAAGCAATTATTAGTATAATCAATGACAATTAAAAGATTTCCTGGCATATCCAAATATCTATTTTGAACAATAAATAATGAGAATTGTCTAAGCATAAAATTTATTCCGCAAGTCAAACTATTTTATTTATTATTACGCCAAAAATGCCCCTTCTCTCCGATGTTTGTAATGTTGTTTCATCTGAACTTCTGCCTTTCTGCTCTCTTCTCTACTATAAGAATTTTGTAACTTTCTGATCTTTTCACTCTTTCGCCTCGTGATCAACATGAAAGTATCAAAAGAAAAGATAGTCAAAATCAGTGCATATCGTTTGATTTTTTTGAAACATATTTCAAAGGGTAAAATGACTGTCGAAATAAATTCTGCACTTTGACATCTATGTAAATGATAATGGTTAGTTTAACAAATACAATATATGCATAAATAAAATATATTTATATTTCTACTTATTAGAATCACAGATAAAAACTTATTTTTTTTTTTATTATTCATTTTTTCTAGACAAACGTATGTATATTGTTTTAGTTGTATTTTTCAAGATTCAGAACAAATATTCATTTGTAACATAATAAATTCAAATAATATAAAATAAAATGAGTATCCTTTTAGAAGATATTAACTCATATCTACAAAAAATTTTTACTTACCAATAGCATCGGCTTCTTTTGACATTAGAACGTATAATATTCCAAAATTAAAAAAATGCATAGTTTCCATTGGTAAATAGTAAATTGGATGTTGAATAAAAAAATAACCGGCAAATCGAACACCAAATGCTAATAAAATAATAACTGCTGAAAAATTTGTACCTAATTTTTCTAAAATATAGCCAGCTGAAAATAGTGCACAAACTTCACTAGCTGATGAAATTAATGACATCCAACCAATAATAGTATGACTTGAACACGGTGCTATTTCATCAACAAATAAATATAAATAGGGATCCATAACTAGAATTAAAAAAATATCACGAATTAAACTATTTCATTGATAAAAATTTATATAACACTATACAATATCTATTCTAATTAATAGTTATAAAATAAAAAAATCATAATAAAATACGTACCAGCATAAGACATTCCCCAAACAAATGTTAATAGTAGAAAAACGAGTACATCAATTTTTTTTAATAATGGTAATAATGCTCCAAGATTAAATGCTGCTGGTCTCAATGATTTTTTATTTTCATTTTTTATCGTATTATTTACTATATAATCATCGGCAGGTAATGGTATTGTTTGCATTTCTTCTTCAATTTTAATTTCATTTTTGTCAGATATTTGTTTTCGTTTATAATTAATACGAATAAATGATGTAGTTATAATACATAGTGTAGAACTGAATATAAATAAAAATAAATAAACAAATTCTGTTTTAAAAATTTTAAATAAACGACTAGCTAAAAATGCTGATATACCAAAACCAATGGTTCCAGCTACTCGTTGATGACCGAACATATCTGGACGAGGAAGAGCGGCAAAACCAATAGATGCTCCAAGTGTAATCGCATTCGATAATAGACCTGTACCAATTAAAAATGTCAATGAATAGAGAAGAATGAACAACAATTGTTTTGGATAACGTTGACCATAACAAAAATGTTCTACACTACATTTAATTGTACAATGAGATTCAACTACAGAGTTGGATAAAGACATCATATCGAGAAATAAATCTAAAGGGATAATATTTAATAAAATGATTATTAAAAACAAAAACTATTGTGTTTCAAATAAATAACATACCCTGTGTTTTTATTATGTTTCGTAGTTCATCCTCAATTGGTACTCTATAGGATACACCACATGCATTTGGTTGATTTAGCACTTGTTTTTGTACATGTACTTTGTTATTCATTTTAAATTCAAAATTTACAGGTTTTTTCTGTAGTTTGGGTCGGACAATTTGCCAAATATGAACATCCACAATTACTTCGAGATGAACAGGCTGTCGCAACTTCTTGTGAAGCACAAAAATCTAATTGATGTTCAAGAGTATCATTTGAAAAATAAATTTTTGCTTCAATTGGATATGTTTTAACTTTTGGTAATATAAACATAAATATATAAAAGACCATT